CCTGCCGGCATGGAGCAACTCACAGCCTGCCGTCTTGTATGGCTTTTTATTCCTATGTGATTATACATCCCACTTCATATAGGGATTGAAGCCGTGCAATACGCCGGGGTCCTACGGCGGAGAACAGCCCCTGTGCCTCGGAGGAGCCACCAAAGCTATACGCCGGGGTGCTGGCCTCAGCCTGGGCTCTGTCCTGCATCCCGGGCTCCCCAGACCTCTGTGGGGGGCAGGTGAGGGGTGCCAAGCTGCTTTGGGGTGAGGCCAGCACAAGCCCACTCCTTGCATTGCACACCCTTGCAAGGGTGGGCCCGATTCTGCACCACATCTGCTGCGGAGAGCCCCGGCGGCTGCGCTGGTGGGCTTGTCCCTGGGGAGACCCTGCTTTGCTTTTGCCCCCCACTATCCCGGGAGACGGGCGGCAGCCTCTGGCAGCATCTGGGTGCAGGCGCTGGAAGGAGGCGCTGCCAGCAGGACAGGGGAGGAGGAAGAAGAAGAGGAGAAAAAAGAGAAAGGAGCTGGGGAACAGCCACGGCAGCAAGGGCTGCCCCAAGCACAACGCTCTTCATAGTTTCTCAAGAGGCCTCAGCCGCTCCTTCAAGGTTTGCGTTAAATCTGTCACATTAGCGAAAATAGTGAAGATTACCCAGCTTGTGGAGGAGATGAAAGGCAGCCCCCTTCTGATCCCTCCATAAAGGAAGGGCTCCATTAACACCTAGTGAAATATTAGCCATTAATCAGGCTCCGTGCAAAATAAAACCATCCACATTTATCATTATTGGATCCTTAATGAAGTGATAATGGGAATGCTGGGGAGCTGTGATATTAATGTCTCCTAAGAGGCAAGAGCAGAGCCAAGGGCGGCAGCCAAGATTTTTAATTTACTGCCAAAAGCTTGTGCTGTTAATAACGCAGTTACTTCTCCCGGCCATTAGCACTGTTTGGCTACGAGCAGCCTGCTTAGGAGAGCAAATTGACACCAAAAGCACCCGGGCTTTGCTCACCCGCTCCCTGCCCAGTGGCTGGGTGTGCTTTTCACGATGGCTGTCCCTGCGTCCCCTGCCCACGTACAGGGACGTGGCCAGGGAGCTGTTGGCCATCTCTACCCATCTCCCTCCTTCCTGGAGGCTGTCTGGCATAGAAAGAGTTTTGCTTTTCCAATAAAAAGGGAAGTGACTGGGAGTGTCAAAACCAAGCAACTCTTATTGTCCTCACTCTTTTTGTGACTTGTCTTCTTAGGCGCAAGCACCCCAGAGCCAGGATGGCACGGAGCTGGTCCCAGCATGACCTGCACACTGGGATCACTCGGTGTGACCGCAGTCGCACTCTGGGTTTCTTCATTTGCCCGGGTAAGCTCACATGATGCTAATATCCCATCCGGGACAGCGTGGGCAAGCTGCAAAGCCCTGCTCAGCTGTGGTGACTCACTCAAGTTCCTGACAGGAAAGTCATGGCTCCTGGCAGGCTCCGGCAGCCCAGAGGCAAATCGTTACTTGGCAGGTAAGCAATGCTGTTGTGTCTTTAGATGCGACTGTTATCTCACAAATCCTTGCAAAACCTGACCGAATGCGGCCCAAATGTATGCTGGCTCATGCGAGGGGTCTTTTGCTGTCAGCGAAGGGACTGCAGGTCAGAGGGAGCTGGTGTTGGGCTGGAGCAGTAACAGGCAATTCAGTGCTGAGCATTGTCCAGAGGAATAAAACAATGCCTTGTTTGTAAGGAGTGCACACCAAAGCTCCTTTCCTCCCTAGGCCGAAGATGTACAAGGTCCACTCAAGCAATCCCTCAGAAATGGAGCTTCGATCTATCCAGGTAGAAGCATCAGAAGAGGAAGAGTGTTTCTGTAACCTGGGTGTCGTTGGTCAACCTCCCCCTGTCCTGTTATCTCCTCGTTAGAAAAGAAGGGACAAGAACAAAAACCATGTATGGAGGCCAAGCAAATGTAGATGTGAAGTGCACTTCAAAGAGTTCCATCCTTTCGATAAACCTTTTATTAGCCTTCTCTCCTCCCCAACACAAACTGTTTTTAATCATTAGTGAAAAGCCACTGTTTAGAAAGCAAGGACACTGCTCAGGGTGCATGTGGTAGGCATTTCCCAGGAGAAGCCAGCGAGCGCTAGCCCAAGGTCTTCTGAACTTGACTGCGACGCAGCACAAGCAGCAGCTCCAAGGACTAGCACGGCGCTCAGCAATGTGGCAGGGCTGTGGGCAGAGCGCAGGGGTATGGTGGGCCTCTGGCAACATGCCCAGGCTGGCACGCCAGACCTGCTGCTGAAGATGCCAGTGACCCTTCTGCCAGGCACCCCAGCCCGAAACTGGAGTCGCTCTGGATTTCACTGGAGCAGAACTGGACAGGAAGCATTAACAACATTTTGGAGCCAGCTTTAGCCAGTTGTCCTGGCCGCAGCCCATACTTTTTGGCTGTATCACTGCACGTGTTAGTGCCCCCGTGGTGCTGGCATGCCGGGCACGCAGCAAAAGCCGAACGCTCTGAAACCTGCTGGCGACCTCTGGAGAAAAACGCACGGCACAAAGCAGCTTCTCCAGCGCAACTGCCACCTGACATTACGGGGGCACAGTGAGCTTTATAACGCTTGGCAGGTTTTCCCCAGCAGATCTCAAAGCTGTTTGCCAGTGTGAGCAAGTTCAGGCATGTTACAGAAGACCTTCAGACTCAGAGGACAAATGAGATGCATGGATGAGTTTAAACCACTGGGGTAAGACTGGAGTTTTGAAATCCCCAGGCTTATGCCTTGACACTATGCCTGGGCTGTGGCCCAGACAGTCCAGCTGCCAGCCTGGCATCAATACCAGGCCCCGTGACAGTCCTGCTGATATCCCTGCTTGTTAGATATTGGCTTTGAAACCAAAGCAGGAGGTGTAGCATCCTCCTCAAAAATCCACCCTCCGATCCATCTTGGAGTGGGGCGCAAAACGACTGTTCAGTGAGACACCACGACTCATGGTGTTGGCAGGATGGTGTATTTATGTCACGAGATGAGATCAGCCACACGGAGTAGGTCTGCCTGTCTGGAAAGAGTCTGAGTCAAGCGTGTCCTGTTAAATTAGGGCTGGATTTTCAAAGGAGCTCAGCTCCCACTTAGGCTCTGTAACAAGCAGGCAGATATTTAAAAGGAGTTGGACGTGTTGGGTCATACTGGCTGCTGAGCTGAGTCCTTTGAATACCCAGCCAAAACCATCACCATGCCTGTTGCTACAGGCAGAGCCCTTCTGAAATCCAGCCCCACCGTAGGCTCCACGTCCTGGGAAACCCGGCTCATCTCTGCTCTCCCACATGTTGCACTGCAGTAGGTGACGAAACTGTGATAACCACTGCGTCCTTATACATGCGGGGGAGCGGCTTCCTGTCAAAGCACGGCTCCGGCAGCTTTGCCCTTTGATCAGCTCAGCAGCATGGGTCAGGAGAGCCAAGTGTGAAGGTTTCCTTGCCTTTTGTTCTGTGGAATTAGCAGAGTTAATCAGAGTGACAGCGACTTCTGCCTCAGTGCAGAAGAAAGGTCAGTGGCTCAGGCTGGATGCACGACTGTTTTCTAAGCAGTTGGAAAGCAACACCGTGAAAGATCATAGCATACATGCAGCTGGCATGGAGGCTCTCTCCCGACAGGGATCAGCGGGCAGGATGCCCCTGCGGAGGGAAGAAGGCTGGAGGAGAAGGACTTCACTCAGCTGGCTTGCCACTGCACCTCAGTCGTCCCCTTCCTTATGCTGCACAGTGAAGGTATATCACCCTCTGTGTCACTGTCCCTGTGCACTGCTTTTGTGTCATACGTCCAGTACCAAATGCTGCTCTCGGCCAACGTGCTCCTTAGCCGTGCTGCTGGGTGTGCATCATGCTGGGCTTGAGGTCTCTGTGTCGCCTCAGGTACCCGGGTGTGGGAGGAGCTGCAGGGCACTGTGCTGGTGTGTGGAGTGGGTGCTGGGTCCCCTTCCCACCAGCCTCCAGCCGGGCAGGCCTTGCTATTGCTTTTACATCCTTCAGTCACTGTAATGCACTTCCGTGAACCTGCAAAAGCTGAGCTGCTCTTGAGCTGGGGGCACTGGAGGTGCAACAGCCGCAGTGAGGACTCTCTCTGGCAGCCCTACCATGGCCTCGATTTCTCCACATCTTTTAACTGTAGTTGAAGCAGTCACAAGAGTGGCGGCTCTCAGCAGAAGTGTTAAATCCGGCCTCTGTGTCTGTAATGTGACTTCTTACCTTCCTCTGATCCCAATTACAAGTGCTTGCTTTTGCTGTGGGCATCCACTCATGTGTCTAATTAGTGGATTCTTTCTGTCAAAGATATTAGCACCCTCGACAGCAAGCCCTAATTTAAGTAGTTTACATTTGTCTGCAGTGTTGATGCCTTAATTTACCCCCGATCCCAATTAAATGCATCTGGATATCTGCAGAGGGAGCTCTCATGATCTCTCTGTGGCTCTAATTAAAATGGCCTGGATGTCCATGACATTGGTGCCCGTCAAGCCTGTCACCAGGAGGTGATGCCCACCTTGGAACTGGCTGAAGAACGTATAGGAGTCGTTGTTGCTTAGGAAAGCCTCCACATCAAGGCCCTCCTGCAGTGCCTCATCCACCAGCTTCGGGCTGCAGAAGGCCCCTGCCGCCTCCGTCGGCCCATCCTGCCCGTCTGTTCCCCCGCTGAGGAAGACGATCTCGCACTTCCCTGGGGAGCTGCTGACTTCTGTAGCCTGTGCCCTGTGCAGCCCCAGCCCCACGCGCAGGGCCAGCTCCTGGTTCCTCCCTCCCTTGCCGGTTCCTTGAAGCTGAACCGTGGTTTCTCCGCCGGCCAGGATGCAGACTGGTCTTTCAGGCCCTAATCCTCGCAGGGCCTGTAGAAACTCAGCAAGGTTCAAACCCGGGATCTCTAGCTCTGCCGCCAGCTGCAGGAGATTCCTCCTCACCTCATCACCCAGGGGCCCTTCCCCGAGGCCGGTGAAGCCCAGGCAGACCAGCCGGATCAGCTGGCAGTACAGCATGGCGACGCGGCTGACTTCTCCGCAGATTGCTGCGCTCAGAATCAGAGTTGCATAGCCCAGGCCCTCGGCTTGGTGTTTGGCCTCGTCTAAAGCCAGCATGTTTGACCCGATGATGATGTTGCAAACGTGGGAGTAGTCTTCCAGAGCAGTGGGCTTGGAGGGAGAGCTGGACAGGACTGTTTCCACTGACTTGGGCAGGTGGTGCAGCAGGTTGTATTTGGCGAGTATCTGAAGGCAGTCTTGAACACTGTGGGAGCTGGCAGCAGTGGGCCCACTCGCTATGATGTCCAGGGGGTCACCAATCACATCAGAAAGGATGAGGCTCACCACCTACCAAGAGAAACACTGCACATTATTGTGGGAGGCAGAGACAGGTGACCGCGCAAGAGCCCTGGCATAAGCGCTGCTCTGAGTTACACTTTCGCCACCCTCATGTCAAAGCAGATGGAAACAGGGGCAGATCTCGGCCCATTTTTGTTTTAAGGTCCCGTGAGAGTCACCTTGCCCTTCCCAAACTCACAGATCTAAAATGTCCTTTGATGCTGGACCATCACATTAGAAGGTGTAACCCGTGCCGCTGGATTTGTCAGGCTGGTAACCTACTGTGGGTTCAGCGATAGCACGTGCTGACAACAGTCCCCAGGGGAGCCAACGGTCAGACCCAGCCTCGAAAGCACTATGGTAGAGCACCAGCACATTGGAAGTGCCTGCTGGGTGAGGGCTGGGGTCTGCTGAGAGTGGTGTGATGGGACGGCTGACATTTGCAGAGTCTGAATTCCCCCTTCTCCACGTCTATCTCCCTGAGAGTTTGGGTCCTCAAGGAAATCTGAGTCCCAAAACAGTGTGCAAAGGCGGTTCACTCAGTGACGGGGAAAAAACCCTGCAAGCGCACTTAGGTCAGTTGATTAAACTCCTATTTTGAGGGCTGATGGGTGATCTCTGAGGAAGCAGGGGCTTCCCCTCAGTTACCCGTGCGGGATATGCGAGCTGGGCCAGCCCTCCACCCTTCAGCAAGGACAGTGTCTTTCGGACGATATTCAGCTCTTGTATGGCAGCTCCTCGGGAAGCCAGCATCTTTGTGAGTTTTTCCTTCTCTTCAAGGAGGATAGGAGGGATGGGAGCAGGCAGTAGGGCCGATCCACCCCCTAGGATGTAGAAGAGATGGCAAGAACATCAGAAAAAGGAGGACGGGAGGAAAACAAGGCTGTTCAACGCTTGAGCCTTTACTCTTCCCTCACCAGTGCGCAGCAGGAAGGCAGAGGTGGTTGGGGAGCTGTGCTAATATCTCTGGAGAATTCAGTTTTCTTCACCAACAGGTTTTAATCACTGCTGCCCTGCACTGTCTGCAGTCAGCTACTTCACTTCACCCGGGCAATGTAACCTCACTGGACCAGGGTACCGCATGCCTGCAGTGTTGCGGAGATGACAGAAAAGGGCCAGCAATTACTATCCCCACTACATCAGGCTTTTAGTGTGTTGTCACACTGATTTTTTTCAAGGGCTACCTGGATGGGTGAGCAGGGAGCATGGGCTCCACGACTTGCACAGCAGTCAGTCAGTGCTAAGCAGGTGGAGACACTGCCTGCTTTGCTGGCTCCATTTATTCAGGACAGTGTGTAAAAACACCAGCTATGTCTGCAGCAAGATCAGAAACTGCTGAACTGCACTCATCTAGGCCTGGGAGGAAAGGAAAGGGGGAGAGAGTAACGCAAAGGACAAAGCACACCCAGAGTCCAGGGTGATAGCCTCACTGATGGGAATCCTGTCTGATACAAGTGGGCATTGGAAATGTGGAAAGGAAGGCAAAGAAAAAAAGTTCTAATGGAAAAGAGGAGTGGATGGAAAATACAGAGTAGAAAGGAGCAAGATCTGAGCAGAGAGTGAACGTGCACAGAAGTACAGCTGAAAGCTTCTGTCAAAAGGCAAAGCCTGCTCAGAGGTTTGAGACAAATCAGCATCAATAAAACATGATGAGCAAGAAAAACAAATGCAAATGCCTGTGTTTCAGTCAATAGCCAGGGATCTAGCTGAGAGGCAGGAGCAGTTGGGGACCGGTTGCTGTGTGGGAGTGCACATGCACAGGGAGTCACAGCCACGGGGAGATCCTGTACAGGCTCCCTGAAGGGCTGAGGAGTCTCTTGGAGATCCCCGTAGCCAAAGGACAGGAGGAAGCCCAGGGGAATCCCCAGCAAGCACAGCTAGATTCTAGTCGCTTGAGTGTTTGCCTGACGGCACTATTCTCTCTGCACCAGATCAGGCTCCAGCATCCACAGAGGAACAATCACTGAGCAGAGGAGACCAAGGGATTTCTACAGAGCTGCTCCAAGCCCCTGCATGCAAAATGCCCTGTGACACCCACTCTCCCAGCTGAGCTCAGGCTCGGGCGACGTCGCTGCATCCCTCTGATGCACAATATCCACCTTTCTTACCCAGCCCTGGGTCTGGGGACAGCCCGGGGCCCCAGCAGACAGGGCCTGGAGGTCTTCAGGGCTGACCCTGCAAGGCGTGCAGCTCACTGTGTTGAAACCTGGGAGCCTCATTTCCACTGGCCAGGAAGCAGCAAAGCCCTGGGAAGGGTCAGTCCCGAATCTCAACTTACAGACTCACATCCCCGCACAAATTCGGAGCGTGCAAGTCCGCCAAGTGCTTGCTTCTCCAAGTCTGCCCCCCCAAATGTAAGGAGGGGGCAGGAAGAAAGCGTCTCCTTCCTGAGGGGTGAGAGCAGCTGGCAGGCTGTGCCCGGAGGTGCCATCTCACAGGGGCGGTACAATGGCAGGACCCAGCCTGCGCAGCTCAGCCTCTCCCCAGTGCTGGGAGATAGCGTGTCCACTGCAGCAGCAGGAAGCCCCATGCCTTCCCCTGCTGCATCCCTGGAGAAAGGCTGGTGGGAGAAGGGAGAGGAAAAATCACAGAGGTGCAAGTGTCAGGGCTGAAAGGGCCAGCACAGCACAGCGCTCCCCTGCTGCACGGCCACGTGTGGGCAGGCGGCTGGAGGGCCATCAGCGCAGCCCATTCCCTGGGATCCCCACACTACCTGAGATGAGCACAAGGAGCAGGTCGTCCGCAGTCAGACCCTCAGCCAGCTCCTGGATGGCAACTGCTCCCTTCAGAGCCTCTGGGTCCGGGAGGTTGTTCTTGGCACCTTCGATGACCTGGATTTTGCTGTGTGGCTTCAGGAGCATCTCCCTGGTGAGGTAAAAGAGGCAATTACACCTCTTGACACGTGCACCTACACAGGCAGTCAGGCAAATGGGCCTGGTGCACCAGAGGTGGACTGGGAGGTGGCCTTTGCTGAGTGTTTCTTCCCCAGGGCTGGGGAGGCAGTGCATCCAGTGCAAGAGATGGGCTGTGTCACTGGTGCCACCAGGATGTGATGTAGATTGAAGACCAGGGCGGTGTGGTGGACAGGGTGGGGACCAGAAGCGAGGGCAGCTGGAGAGGACTGAAGGGGTTCACAGCAACATCCCACAGAGGATAAATCTGGCAGCCTACCCCCCCAAAACTGTCCAGACACAGCCCCCCTTACTGCCTTCCTGCTCGCTGCAGGCTCTCCTGGATGCCTAGTGGCACGTTGATGATTCCCCGAACAAGATGGTCTCCCAAGATCTCTTCTGCTGCTGCGGCCATCCCCAACACAGCTTTGCCAAAACCCACCAGGTACAGGTCCCTCCTCACTGGAAAGGCCTGGCCCTTCACCAGCAGCTGAGGGCACCCGTTTCCCTGGAGCTTCACAGCCCTCTTCAGCATCGGAGCCGGCCGGACGGTGCCCACCGCGCTGCGGAAGAGGGACAGTGCGTGCTCGCGGAGGGACATGCTGCGCAGGGCAGCCAGGCTGAGTCAATCTGCTCGGTGGGGTGGGCTTGTACACACTCTGCTGATGCTGGCAAGGCGAGAGCTGGGGCAGCGGGCACCCTCCAACCTGCAAGGGAAAGTGAACACTAGCAGAAGAGACAGGGCTGTCACAGGGAGAGTAGGGAGGCCAACACATGAACCATGGAGCTCTAATTCCTGTTTCCTCTAGATGAAAGTGCCATATCAGCAGCATTTTCAAACCTCTGCCGAGGCAGGAGGGAGGGAAGAATCCAGTGTCACATTTAAACTACGTGTCAGCTTGTGGTTCCCCTGCAATCCCATCACCTCCCACAGGGAAGGTGAGCCCTACCAGCCAGCTTCTGCATCACTGTAGATTTGCCACTGGCAAGCCATCATTTCTATTTGCTCAGCGTTTGATGCCTTTCCAAACTGTGGAAGCTGCTCTCTGTCCTGGAGAGAGCAGGGTGTCTGGGTGGAACAGCTTTTCACTGCATTAACTCCCTTCCTCGTGCTAGCCAAATGCTGATCTCATTCTCTGGCTGCGCATTGCCCCATGTGTCTCTGCAGCATCACGCACGGACTTTGGAGAAACAACAAGCTTGCTGGCTGCCTGATCCCTTGCTGCTGGTGGCCACGGAGAGACCAGTAATGAGGTTTCCCCACCAAACAGCAAATTAACACAAGGCTTCATTAGCCTTTATTTTTTAGTGCTCTCATTATCCATTAAAATCACATTTAGAGCCCAAACAGGACTTAAGATCCAGGCAAAGTTGCCAGCTGTATCTGTGAAAGCCCATTTGAGCTAGTCTCCACTGAATATTAGCATTACATGCAACAGAGATGAGTGTGGACCAAAGGATCTCAACTGCCCAGGGGCAGACACTTGTCCTGACAGGGGAAAGGCAGCCCCTGCCAGCGTGCACGCATCTATTCCCTCCTAGCATTTCTCCTTCCCTCCGTTAACTGGCAGCAAGTTCACTGCTGGTTTCTCAGGATCAAAGATCCTTGTGATCTGCATCTCTCCCGCTCACGGCAATTACAGTGCAGGCAATTAAGGCAGGGTGCCAGAAGGCTGAAGCAGCCCAGGCAACTTGATCACAGACCCATTCAAATGACCAGAGAGAGTTAATCCTCTCTCTAGTAAATAGATGTGTTTCAGTGCAAGGCCAGTGGCTGGCTGCTTCTGGGAGAGCTCACGAGTCCAGAGGTCTCTTTGTCCTAACACTCCCATAGCACTGCGAAGTGTTAATCATTAAGCAAGACAAGCTTTCCAACAGCTCCTCTGGGTCTAAATCTGCCTTATTTTGCTGCAAGGACCCGAAGGCTCTGTGAAAACCTCCACAGAAGCACCTTCTCGGGCAGTGAAACTTGGGCACACACTGAAATCTATTGGACAAGGGACCTGCAGGTAAAACTATATGGAGAATCATAGATTTGCCAGAGAAAAAAAATGATTCAATGCTTAAGAGAAACAGATTTTAAAAGCAAAATGCAGGGCAGATAAACTATCTATTTACACTCCCTTTAGATACTGGTCAGGACTTTTCAATCATGAGGAGAGATAAAAGACAGGGTCCTGACCACTTTGTTACTAGACTCCTAAACTTTACAGCAGCTGGTAACTGCCAGCAGTTTAAACCACTGAGCCTCAGCCCTCTCACAATGGAGCCAGAGTAACCGTGCTAACGCCAGTGAATTCAGATGTACACCTCTCAGGAACAGAGATAAGCATCTCCGTCCCCAGCAGGTCTCTGATTCACCTGGCAGCACAGTGCAATCAGAGGAAGGTGTTACAAAACAGAGGTGCATCACGCCCCAGGTCGCCTCGTCTGAGCTGCGATACAGGGTTTGCAGAAGTGGTTGGAGAAAAAGGCTTAAATGGAGCCAGGGGAGCTTAAGAAAATAAAGCCCCAAAGCTTTTAACAGGCTCTGTCTCTGCCTTGATGTTTCTGTGCACAGCTGACCCTGAAGACCGGGGGAATTGAGCACAACCAGACCTGCAACTGCGGCTCCTGTCACATGTGCCCTCCTGGCGGCTCTGCTCAGCTCCAACTCCAGACACGACACAGCAGGCGCGAGTTGTTTAAAAGCAATCCTCTCCTACTGGAGCTGAAAAAAATAAACGCCAGCTTAATTCATCTAGCACTTGTGTACATACTGCTAATGCTTGCTCTGGAAAGCATTTCGCTACAATAGCAGGCATGTAATCTGTTTTCTGCACTCTGAACTCAGATTATATTTTAACCATTGAGGCCTGATCCAGAGTCTGTTGAAGTCAGCACGTGTCTTTCCATTGCTTCTAAGGATTTTAGGGCACGCCGCCTGACACTGATCTCAGTGCACAGGTGTAAACAGAGAGTAAATCCGGTGTAAAAGCCCCTTGCAGTCAGAGGTTATCCGACTTTACACCAACGCAACAGAGAGCTCAATTTGGCACAGACCCATTAGCTTTGGAGGTCTCGGTGTGTAACTCTGCTCCATGTCAGCTCTGATTAGACACGCAGGCTCACTGCAGGCTCCCCTTGGAATGGGGGTGCTGCTAATGATGCCACAAATCCATCTTTATGTAATTTATTTATACAGTCTCAGGCACTGGTTATTAAATGTCATCAGGGAACAACTACAAATCAGTGCTATGGAGTCCACTGTAGATATTAACAAAAAATAAAACTCCTACTCATTTTACTAGGGCTTTAAAAACAAGATCAAGAGAACATCACCCCACACCAAGACATAGGCAGCCTTGGAAAGAAAAATAATCCAAATGGCAGCTCTCAGACTACCTCCACGGACGGTGGGTCTAGAAGCGATGTAATTGCCAGTTAACTGCTGTGTATTCCATGTGGGGAAATTACATCCTTACATCCCTGCGTCTTCCTCTTCCCACTGCTGGCTAGGAGGAATCTGGGCTGGGAGAAGGGGCTGATGATGTAACTCATATTGCTTCATGCACTAATATTTGTTCCCCAGTTTCTCAGGGAACTCACCTAGGGATGAACGAGCCCTCTTGTATATGGATATAAGGTGACATGTTATAGGCACTAGTGGGGCTTGGGTTTTATACCTTCCCTTTGTCCCTCCTCAGGATAATTCGGAGTTGGGGTATAGATAGTCTTGTGGAAAGTTTTCTAGAAGTTCACACTTAGCTTAGGAGGAAAATGATGCTAAGAATTGCCTGTTCCAAAGAGAGCAGAACTGTGAGGGGTTTAGATTAATCCCCTTTAAATGAAAACTTCCTCAGCTTTCATTGATGAATAATGTTCACCATCTACATACTTGTTTGATTGCGTTACCATTGTAAGCTCTTTCTTCAAGGGCTCCTCCTAAGCCTGCAGAAATTTCCCCTGTTAACTCTCACAAAAAAAAGCAGCAAAAACCCAGCTCCTCATTTTCACCATCTCTGGGAAAGAGGAAGTGAGAGGAGCTGGACTGTGATAAAATACAGGCAAAGCGCTCGTTTGCATTACCTTTCATTAACTTTTTAATTAAAGCAATTCTGCAGGCAAGGAGCCAAAGTCAGACGGAGAGAGAAACAATCCAGCACTAGGGGCAGAAATGTGGTAAGCTGCCAGGTAAATTGGATGGTGGCATGAGACCAAAAGCATGGACATAGTGGGGCGTAGTCTGAGCCATAAACTTGGAGTCACACTGGAGAGGAAAACAGTGAACAAATGAGCTGGCCATGCCTGTGCAGTGAGAAAAACGAGCCAGCACCTTGCTCCATGTGAGGTACTTGAAAGCCAGAAAAATATTCCCTTCTAGGGGCCAGTCTGCCATCACCGGGCAGAGCCGAGCTATTCCAGGTGATGTGGTTGGAGGTTTGTTCAAGGGTTTGCATCACAAGCTTGTGGTTTTCTTGAAGTTGGGGCAATTGGGCTTGTTGCAGGCCAACCCAATCACACATTCCTGAGCATTTCAGATGCTGCAAGATCGGAGGATACTGTATATTAATGCTCTGGGATGGCTAATTTAACAGATCTTCATGTGCCTAAGTTAATTTATTTTTAATGTCCTTAGGACTTCTCTGGATTTCCCCCAGTGTGGCAGTGATTGGTGGCTGGCCCACTGTGTACAGGGTCAACTCCAAAATCCCTGAGGGGCTTGGAAAAAATTTGAGATGGCACTGGATCAAACCCCAATTGTTCGAGGATAATTTTGAGCTCAAGCTCTAAAAGACAGATTACATCTTTGTTACAGCAGTAAACTACCAGACACAGCAAGTTTTAGCAGTGTCTCTTGCTACTTGTTTTTCTTGCTACATGACTTTCTTCTGGCCTCTTGGTACGTAAATTACCGTTGGAGTCACTGAGGCTTACGGCTTCCATTTTTCATGCATTACCATGGGAGTTTACCTATGAAGTACAACAGAGCGGAGATTTTACTGCCTTAAACTCCCATGTTCCCACTTACTGACACATCTTTTCTATCATTTGATATATCAACTTTAATTCGCCTCGTGAGTCCTGCTCAAACTCAAACTTGCTGCTCCAGATGGTCCCAAAAGTATTACGAGAAAATTTTCCAAGAGATGCACTGAACCCAGGAGGAAAACAAAGCGGTGAAGGTTTGTTCCAAGTGACTGTTCTGGGAGGATTAGATGGGGGATTTTTCAAGACTAATCTCTTTAAATGAAAATTTCAGAATTTGATTAATTTTTTAATCTGCACATGGATTTGCATAAAATTACCGCACTGCCTCGTTCACATTTTATAAAAGAGAAAATATCTGCAGCTAGGATGGACCAACTAATTACTGATCAGCTATGAAGGGTCCAGTACACAAGTGGGTGCGCAGGGACAGGGTGAAAGGTCCTTTTGCCCCCGCTCGCTGTGGTGCTCCTGCATCCATAACTGGGAAGAGGATGATGGTGGACAGATGCAGAACGATATGACCAGAGAGCTGCACAGAGAGTTTACCAGGCAGGCAAGGGAGAAAGTAGGATGGAGTCTGAATACCTTTGTTTCAAGAATGTGCTGAGCTCTGGGAAACCCAGGAGTCCTGATTTCCAATAC